CCAATCTCTAAAATTCTATGGTGGGGTAACAGTGCTTAGCCACGTGCCTGTGGTTTCAGTTCTTTTCTCTCGAGGAGATTGGGACTAGATGATCCATAAGGTCCATTCCAACCCCTAAAATCGTATGGTTATTTTTGTGCCAGCGTTGGGAGGGGAGTTGGGGTGTGTTGTCGAAGCACGTGGAAGGGTTTGGCACTCCTGTAGGTTTACCCCACCCCCCCGGGCCACTCGAACAATGGCGCACTCAGCACTCAGTTTTCCTGCCCACGTGTGTCCCGTCCCGCCCTCTGCACTATCCCGAGCCTGTTGCACCGCCCCTGATCAACTTAAACACCTTTTTTTATTCCCTCTCCCCACCCCCCGTATGTTTCAGCCCCAGAAGACGCCGCCGCAGCCGGTCCAGGAGCAGGAGCCGCTCTCGGTCCCGCAGCCGGCCGCTCCAAATCCCGGTCTCGCACACGCTCCCGGTCTCGCTCCACCTCCAAGTCCAGGTCTGCCAGGAGATCCAAGTCAAAGTCCTCATCTGTCTCCAGATCCCGCTCCAGGTCAAGATCCCGCTCCAGGTCTAGAAGCCCACCCCCTGCCTCAAAGAGGGAATCCAACTCTAGATCCAGGTCTAAGAGCCCTCCCAAGTCTCCGGAAGAAGAAGGAGCTGTGTCCTCCTAGGAACATGGTAATGTACCTCGGGATCAGCACACGTTGCATGTTACTGTGTTAGAGCACTTAGGTGTGGGGTGTTGGGCAGCTCTTAGAGCATTAATAGCCTGAGCCAAGTGGATCCTAACGGGGCACATTGTTAGCTGTTGGTTGGTTTTTTCTTTTCTTGAGCAGTGCATTTTTTTCGGTTATTGGTTTAGGGAAATTAATACTTGAAGGGTTTTCTACAGAGAAATTTATTTTATTTTTTTTTTACAGAGAAAAAATTGTTTTATTGCAAGATTAATGCCTTGGTTTTAATAAAATATTGTATGAGACACAACCTATGATGAAAAATGACTATTTCTTACTGTATTTATCCAACATCTGCATTTTCCCCTTTAAAGCTGCGGTCTCCTGTTTGCTAAAAGAATATTGGCCAGTATTGCAGATTTTAACTGATTTGGCTGATCCTCCAGGGACCAGTTTCTGTGGGCGTGTGTTGGAGCAGGTTTGTCTTACACTGTTAAAGATACACTATCCTTTTAGAACGGAAGATCGGTTCAGTGGCCGTTGTATGACTTGCTGGAGGTAATAACTGTCCTAGAAAAGTGGCAAATTCCTTGCAACAAGAAAACCACGGAAACTAGTTTTTCCTCAAGTCGACATGTTGAAGAGGCATCTAAGGATACATCGGGTGGGGAAAGGATAGTGTGTCTTTAACCCTTCAAACTGTTCGGTCCTGGTTTTTAAAAGGAAAGGGCCTGAGCTAGCTCTGGAGTTAGATAATTATAGCGAAATTAGTCATGTTTTCTGTTTTGAATGCTAATTAGAGTTTAGTTAAGTCTTTATGAAGAAATACTAGTTTTGTAACTCGGATAGAGCTTTGGATAATGGATTGTTGAACAGGCTGAATTGAAGTTAATGGTGGCTTGATGTCCAGCCTGGTGCTCACCCTCCTTTGTCACTAAGTACAGTGACAGAACCTTACATTTGGCCTCTGAAGTAAAGCAACACATTGGGGGGGGAGGTGGAACACTGTGGTGGAAGCTCCTAAAACTTAACCTAAATTAGGCAAAGCCAGTTGAAACACAACTAGAAGTATCCCTCAAGTCCTCCACACCCAAAGGGGATGAGGTGGAAACCTGGCTGAACTTGTCTCTCTTCAAACCTAGATGCTTCCGCTAAGTGAGAGCCCACAAACAGGACGTCTTTGGGGGGAAAGGATCGCTTGAGTCTTCAGCCCACTGGAGAGACCCTGACCGAGCAACCAGCTGTTGAAAAGGTTATTTTGTAACATTTGTCTAACTTTTTACTTGTTTAAGTTGCGCCTCAAGTGGCAGATTTTACATTTTATGTGCCATTTTGTTGCTGTTATTCAAATTTCTTGTAATTTAGTGAAGTGAACGACTACCGATTTCATTATTGGCTTGGATATTTGAGGTAAAACTTCATTTTTGTTTATCTAGTGCTGACTTATATTGGAAATTCAAACTGATGGTAACTTGCTGCCTCCAGTTTCATACTGAGGAGTCATGCAGCTGTTATATGCTGAGTAGCTAACTGTCAAAAAGAAAAAGTCTTAGCAATTTTGTCTTCATTCCTTACATAAAAATCTGCAAAACTTCAATTTGAAACTTAACTGTAAATGCTTTTTTTTTTTTTGTTAAATGAAAGAAAACTTTCTGAATTAAAATAGCCTCTTCAAATTCAAATTGGTAGAAATCTTTTCAGGTGACAGTTGATGTTTGAAAGGATTGCTTTATCAGACTCCATTCTAATCTCTTCTCTTATGTATTTTTGTGCACTAGGCGCAGTTGTGTAGCAGTTGAGTAATGCTGGTTAGCTGTTAAGGTGGCGTGTTGCAGTGCAGAGTGCTTGGCTGTTTCCTGTTGTCTCCTGATTGCTCCTGTGTAACGATGCCTTGTCGTGCAGAAACAAATGGCTGTCCAGTTAATTAAATTGCCTGACAACTGCACTCCCAGTCACCCGGGCCTTGCGTTAGAAATATGGAGCATACAGTGAGCACATCTAGCTGATGATATACACACCTTATTTTTTCCAACCTACATATATGAACTTACATATGAGAAATGTAATGTTAAGAAAAGAAATGGTTCATTCCTTTGTAAGTACTGATTGGTGTATCTTTTGCTTAAGACATTCTGTACTATACCCACTGTCTGTAGTTAATATTAAACATTTTTCTGTGTTAACTTTTCTCAATTTAATGTCTGAGTCAGCTTATTTTTAGCTTGGAAAGATTTCTGCAATTATAATGTCAATGTTTAACTTCTATATATAGTAATCAAATGAATTTTTACTGCTTATAAATTTTATCCACTGGGGTTGCTTTTAAATTACTAGGGGCAAACTTAACTAGTATTGTGACTAACCCAAATGTTGTGTGGCAAGTACTGCACACCAGGCCACGAACACCAACCAGCCAAGGCCTGGGATGTGGTGGAGATACACACTGAGCAGTACTCACTGCATTGCTGTGTGCTTGTCCTGGCTCTCCAGACTGCTGCTGAGCTATGGGGATGAGTTCTCTTGATCTGGTACCAAATGAATTGTAACCTCAAAGCATCCTGTGTCAAGGGTTATTGTAATGCCTTGTTGATTCTATGCATGTATGTCAAATAGGAATGGAAACACCTGAATTCTGGCTGTGTGGAGGATTAAAAATACTTTTCTACAAACTGAGCAGTTTGTATGTTCTAGGTTAGCACAGTCTACACACTCATTTACAGAGGGGTTGGATTTTGGGAAGGGAAATGGATCTTATGGGGCTGCTCTTTATTTTGAGAGAGTGCAGTTAACATTTCAGAGCTGAACTGTGGATTTAGGTTGGATCTTGTGGATTTCCAGGTTAAGGTGTGTTGTGTAGTGGCTTATATTATGGAGTCAAGTCTCTGAACTATTTCGTGGGCTTTGGGGAGAGCACAAATTTCTCAAAAGCCATAGCTGAAAAACCAAACGGCTTTATTTTTACAATGCGTGTTTTAAGATTTACTGCTGCGGGGATCTGCTTCTCAACAATATCCATGAGGTTTGCTGTGAACAGGACTGTGTCCTGCAGCTCTGTGCTAGAGCAGCACTTGAGTATCATCTTGTACTGGAACCTGAAGTGGAATAAACTGAAGTGCCATCAGACTGTGCTAGTGAGATGATCATCATTTCAATCGTGTGCCTTCCTGGTAGGGAAGAGCTGGCCAAGTGCTCCTTGTCTGCACCAAAGGAGTGTAAGGGAACATGGATGTTCTTCAGTTTCCATTTGTGGAGCAGAGCCTCGATGGACCAGTCAGCACTGAGGGGAGAAATAGCAGAGTGTGACAACACCATCCTGCTGCAGTAACTCCAGCAGGCTCTCACCAAACCAGTACAACACAACTGGGTTTGGAAGTTTCCTAGTCACCAGCACATTAGTGGTTCTTGGAGTTATGTTCAGGTTTGGCTGCTTTTGCCTGCTTCCCCCCAGGAGTTACTGGCTAACAGCAGTGAGGAGCTTCTCTGGGTCAAGGTGGTGGTGGCTCTGAGAAGTTAACACTCCTCCAGAGCTGAGAGATGAATGAAGATTTGAGTTTTAAATATGCAGAAGAGTTTACCTTCGGACTTGATATGTAGTCCAGAATTGAGCATGAGGATTCTTCTCCAGCAAGAAGTAAACTGTAGTTAAGATGTCTTCAAAGTCTGTGCAGTTTGGGGAGATAAAAGTAGTGAGGGTTAGTCTGATTCCAAGTACAGAGAAACCTGCCTGGTTTTAGGGAATGGTAACTAGAAAGCAGTACAGGCAAACTGCAGCCGTGGGGGAGGCAGGAGAAGCACTAAGTTAATTGTTCTCAGCTGTGTTCATGACACCTCAAACCCAGAATCCCCCCAGAATAACAAGGTCAGTAGCACAGTGTCACCTGAGCTCCTGACACTGTTCCCAGCACCACTTGGACACAAAGTCCTCACAGTTCATCACAAACCAATGGTACTGGAGAGCATTCGCATACCTTTGGGGTCAAAAAAGACATCTGACCCTAAGATGATGTCCACAGGAGCCAGAGAGAGCAGCTCGGGCGAGAGGCGCCCCCAGGTGATGCCGAGGACGGGCACGTGGGGCAGGCGGTTTGCCAGGCAGCTGCTACGGCAGCTCCGCAGGCACTGCGGCAGCTCCTCGCTGTCCGACAGGATCACCTCGGCGCCGCACCTGGCGGCCACCACGCCGGGGAGGCTCACCCCGGCGC